TATGCCATTTTAAAAAATTGAGGTAACTTTTATGTAACTTTTAAATAATTCTTCAAGGTCAAACCAATGGTACCATCTTATGGTCCCTTCGAAACCAAACAACTTTTGTCTGAAAAATTTTTCTCTCCCGGGCTTGATTTTCGAGATATTCGACTGGATGGATTAAAATGGTCTACCCTGTATAATTTTGATCGCCCTCATAACGAATCTTCGATGGTCCATAAATTATTAATTATTTACATGGATGACTTCACACATGGTCTGTACGGTACTATGTATCTATTTTATTACGTGTGGATTGTTTATACTATATAAATATATTATATATATTATATAAATATATATTATATAAAAATATATTATATATTATATAATTACTTTTATCTGTATCGTATTATATTCAATTTATAATTTACACTGCTGTATTATAAACAATCTATAAAAGATATTTGAGTCAACATAACGTGAACAAACAATTATCCGTTTGAATGTTTCTTTTCTTTAGAATTTTTGAGCAATTCAATCGCATAAACATTCAAATTGTTATAAGTGTATTCGAAAATCTTTAAATTTGAAAATCTTTAATTCTTAGAAATTTCATATATTTTGAACAAGTAAATAATTTTATTTATTTGAGAGAAAATGCAATTTTTTCCTACTTAATATATTTATATAATTCGAGTCCATTATTTTAGAAGTCCTGTATGTATTTCAGATAACATATTTTAGTACAATTTTATTTATTTGAAATGACAAAAATATTTTATCTCTAATTAAATAAAGGAATATATGGGAAATAATCGATTATTCTTGCTTAAATATTACATATTTAAATGCTTAATGATTTATGTTTATCAATTTATCATATTTATTCAATTTATATTTATATAATATTGAGACATTACAAATGTATGAATAAATATAATATTATATATGTATATACATATATGAGATATTTTCACAGAAAATGTTTTTTTGTCATTAATCTTGAACTTGACGATGTCTTGGATCTGACGCCTTTCTTAAATTAAATATTTCAAATCCTCGTCCATATATAAAAAGCTCGGCCGAGCTGTTAACATTTACATTTGTAAGAATAGCACAAAGAGGATATAATTAGAATATCTAATAAATTTTTAGACTTACTGTTTGCCGTGGTCGTCCAACTCCATGCCTTGCACGTCCGTAACAGATGTAAATTCTTGATTTAAGATGTCTACATGTATGACTCGATTGGAACATAAATACTTGTGAGTAATAACTTGCTGATCTATTCCCACGCTACATATTATATTGCCTATCAATTTCACACCTGTTGGCATTGCACAGTTTTATGAATTTTTGTGCAGTGTATATACTTTTAGCCAAGGTTGGGAAAGTTACTTTGTAAAAATAACTAGTTACAGTTACAGTTTTTGTTTCTCAAAAAGTAACTAGTTACCGTTACAAGTTACCGACTCCAAAAAGTAACATGTTACAGTTACAGTTACTCAAAAAGTAACGAATCGTTACTTTTCAGTTCGTTACTTTTCGTTACGAATCGTTACTTTTAATAAAGCAACATTAGCATTATAAAAAAAAGACATGACATTATAAAAAAGAGAGTGGTTTACATTTATATCTGTCTCTTATACACATCT